GGAGCCAAATGCTAATCACAAGGCAATGAGGAAAATGTATCCAGGGAATGTCAGACACCTTTGCAGCAGCCCCTCCCATCACAGGCCTGGAGGCCTAGGAGGAAAAAACAGTTTTGTGGGCCAGGCCCAGGGCCCCCCACTGTGTGCATCCTAGCAATTTGGCATCCTGAGTCCCAGCCACTCTAGTCATGGCTAAAAGGGGACAAGGTGTGGCTCTGGTCATGGCTTTAGAGGGTGTAAGCCCCAAGCCTTTGCAGCTTCCACATGGTATTGAGCTTGCAGATGCACAGAAGTCAAGAATTGATGTTTGGGAAACTCCACCTATATTTCCAAGGATATATGGAAATGCCTGGATGTCCAGACAGAAGCTTTTTGCAGAGGTGGGGCTCTCATGGAGAGAACCTCTGCTAGGGCACTGAGGAAGGGAAATATGGGGTTGAAGCCCCCACAGAGATTCCCCACTGCGGCCCGCCTAGTGGAGCTGTGAGAAGAGGGCCACTGCCTTCCAGATCTCAGAATGGTAGATCCACTGACAGCTTGGATTGTGAGCCTGGAAAAGCTGCAGACACTCAAACACCAGCCTGTGAGAGCTGCCAGAAGGGGGGTTGTATGCTGCAAAGCCACGGAAGCAGAGCTGCTCAAGACCATGGAAATCCACCTCTTTGCATCAGCGTGACCTTGATGTGAGACATAGAGTCAAAGGAGATCATTTGGAAACTTTAAGATTTGACCACTCCACTGGATTTTGGAGTTGCATAGGGCCGTTAGCCCCTTTGTTTTGGCTAATTTCTCCCATACAGAATGGATGTATTTACCCAATGCCTGCCATTGTATCTAGGAAGTTACTAACTTGCTTTTGATTTTACCGACTCATAGGCAGAAGGGACTTGCCTTGTCTCAGGTGAGACTTTGGACGGTGGAATTTTTGGTTAATGCTGAAATGAGTTAAGACTTTGGGGTACTGTTGGGAAGGCATGACTGGTTTTGAAATGTGAACACATGATATTTGGGAGGGGCCAGTGGTGGAATGATATGGTTTGGCTGTGTCCCCACCCAAATCTCATCTTGAATTTTAGCTTTCATAGCTCCCATGTGTTATAGGAGGGACCCTGTAGGAGACAATAGAATCATGGGGGCAGTTCCCCCATACTGTTCTCATGGTAGTGAATAAGTCTCACAAGATCTGACGATTTTACAAGGGGTTTCCCCTTTCTCTTGGCTCTCATTCTTTCTTGTCTGTCACCATGTAAGATGTGCCTTTTACCTTCCACCATGATTGTGAGGCCTCCCCAGCCATGTGAGACTGTGAGTTCATTAAACCTCTTTCCTTCCTAAATTACCCAGTCTTGGGTATGACTTTATTAGCAGTGTGAAAATGAACTAAAACACAGCCCTTCATGGGCTTTGATTTGCTTCCCTGAAGTGGAGTTCTTCAAGGGAAGAGATGGGGGACTCCACACCAGGCTCTTGAGTGGGGAGCAGAAGGCTTAGGGAACTGTAGAGTGATTGGTTTAGGCTCATCATAAGCACGCAGATACTGTCTCCCTGGAATGCTGTCTTCCATCTGTAATAATGATGAGAGAATGATAAATGATGCCTATTATGAAGGTCATCCAGGAAAAAAAATGCATCATCACCATGTTTAGTTCCTCTGCAGATGAGCTTCTGAAATTTGGTTCAGATATTTCAAAACACTTAATATTTGAACTAAAACCTGCCCATGGAATACATACATACATACATACATACATAAATTCAACTAAAACCTGCCCATAGAATACATACATACATACATACATACATAAATTTAACTAAAACCGACCCATAGAATGTATACATACATACATAAATTCAACTAAAACCGGCCCATAGAATACATACATACATACATAAATTCAACTAAAACCAGCCCATAGAATACATACATACATACATACATACATACATACATACATAAATTCAACTAAAACCTGCCCATAGAATATATACATACATACATACATACATAAATTCAACAAAAACCAGCCCATAGAATACATACATACATGCATACATACATAAATTCAACTAAAACCGGCCCATAGAATACATGCATACATACATAAATTCAACTAAAACCAGCCCATAGAATATATACATACATACATACATACATACATACATACATACATACATACATAAATTCAACTAAAACCTGCCCATAGAATACATACATACATACATACATACATAAATTCAACTAAAACCAGCCCATAGAATACATACATACATACATAAATTCACCTAAAACCGGCCCATAGATTATATACATACATACATACATAAATTCAACTAAAACCTGCCCATAGAATATATACATACATAGAACACTAAAACCTGCCCATAGCGTCATCACCATTTTTACTTCTTTTGTGATGATCTTCTGAAATTTGGTTCAGATATTTTAAAACACTTAATATTTAAAGAATTTCAGTTTATTCAACTAAAACCTGCCCATACAATACATAGATAACAAGTAGGTCAGTCACATTTAGAAAATAAAAATACAGGATTTCCAGCTATATTTGAATTTCAGACAAGCCACGAATAATTTTTATTGTAAGTATGTCTCATAAAATATTTATGACTAAAAAAGTACACACAGTTTGTCTGAAATTCAAATGTAAGTGGGCATTGGAAGTCCTATATTTTATTTAAATTCCAAATGCAGGAAATCTTCACACGGGGATATTTATGCAGGTTGTATGCTAATTTACCTTTTGTTTTTAGTAAAATTGTATTTTCTAAGGCCAGGAAATAAATAATAAGAAATTTGAGTTTTGCTAAGGATGACTTTTTTAAAGTTAGGCCACTCAAAAACATCATTTTTAAAAAATCAAAGCTGCCATTGTTTAAGGTGCAGCCACCTTCAAAAATCTTCACCCTGAATAGTAGCCTTCAACAAGAAACTAATTCTTCCAAGGCCTTTTCTACCATTAGGAAATACTTACATTATTCTATTTTCGTCTTAAAGATTTTATGATTGAGATAAACCTGTGCTCAGCCTCTGTAAAGGGACAGGTGGAACACATACAGTAGCAGAATTCAGCCCTCTGCAAATGAACAGGTGGGACACGTACAGTAGCAGAATTAAGCCTCTGTAAATGGACAGGTGGAACATGTACAGTAGCAGAATTCAGCCTCTGTAAATGGACAGGTGGAACATGTACACTAGCAGAATTCAGCCTCTGTAAAGGGACAGGTGGGACACGTACACTAGCAGAATTCAGCCTTTTTAAGGGACAGGTGGGACACGTACACTAGCAGAATTCAGCCTTTTTAAGGGACAGGTGGGACATGTACAGTAGCAGAATTGAGCCTCTGTAAAGGGACAGTTGGAACACGTACAGTAGCAGAATTCAGCCTCTGTAAAGGGACAGTTGGAACACGTACAGTAGCAGAATTCAGCCTCTGTAAAGGGACAGTTGGAACACGTACAGTAGCAGAATTCAGCCTCTGTAAAGGGACAGTTGGAACACGTACAGTAGCAGAATTGAGCCTCTGTAAAGGGACAGTTGGAACACGTACAGTAGCAGAATTCAGCCTCTGTAAAGGGACAGTTGGAACACGTACAGTAGCAGAATTGAGCCTCTGTAAAGGGACAGTTGGAACACGTACAGTAGCAGAATTCAGCCTCTGTAAAGGGACAGTTGGAACACGTACAGTAGCAGAATTCAGCCTCTGTAAAGGGACAGTTGGAACACGTACAGTAGCAGAATTCAGCCTCTGTATAGGGACAGGTGGAACATGGACAGTAGCAGAATTCAGCCCTCTGCAAACGAACAGGTGGGACACGTACAGTAGCAGAATTCAGCCTCTGTAAAGGGACAGGTGGGACATGTACAGTAGCAGAATTCAGCCTCTGTAAAGGGACAGGTGGGACACGTACAGTAGCAGAATTCAGCCTCTGTATAGGGACAGGTGGAACATGGACAGTAGCAGAAATGAGCCTCTGTAAAGGGACAGGTGGGACATGTACACTAGCAGAATTCAGCCTCTGTAAAGGGACAGGTGGGACATGTACACTAGCAGAATTCAGCCTCTGTAAAGGGACAGGTGGGACATGTACACTAGCAGAATTCAGCCCTCTGTAAAGGGACGGGTGAAACACGTACAGTAGCAGAATTCAGCCTCTGTAAAGGGACAGGTGGGACACGTACAGTAGCAGAATTCAGCCTCTGTATAGGGACAGGTGGAACATGGACAGTAGCAGAAATGAGCCTCTGTAAAGGGACAGGTGGGACATGTACACTAGCAGAATTCAGCCTCTGTAAAGGGACAGGTGGGACATGTACACTAGCAGAATTCAGCCTCTGTAAAGGGACAGGTGGGACATGTACACTAGCAGAATTCAGCCCTCTGTAAAGGGACGGGTGAAACACGTACAGTAGCAGAATTCAGCCTCTGTAAAGGGACAGTTGGAACATGTACAGTAGCAGAATTCAGCCTCTGTAAAGGGACAGGTGGGACATGTACAGTAGCAGAATTCAGCCTCTGTAAAGGGACAGGTGGAACACGTACAGTAGCAGAAATCAGCATTGTTATTATTCTTTTCCTACAACAAACAGTAAATTGGACTCTAGTGGATCTCAGAAACTTAGAAAAGGACAGGTGGAATTGGAGGATCAGTGTTTTCTTCCAGATGTTTTAAGGTCTCTGTTACAAAAACGTAGCTGTACTATGTTGAAAAGGAAATGAAGAAACAGTAGATCTGTAGTTCAGGCTTCTGCAAAGAGCACAGCGGAGCCAGGCACTGGATCCTGGTGGATTTGTAGACCCAGTAGAATACCATTAGAGAGAAAACAGAAGTCAAAACAAACAAAATACAGGGAAAACGCTCCACAGAAAGTATTTCACTGCAGAATTTATAATACAGGCATTATTTAAGATTATTATAGCTGGTTCTTGGATACATTTGTAAGGTCTTTGAAAAAAAAATTAACATCTTAAAGTGTATTAAGAAAGGTAACACACACAAAACTCATAGTTTCATGAACTGCATACTTGATGTGTGTTTTTACTTTTAAATTTAGTTTTTCTTTTTAAGTCTAAAAAGTAAATTAACTTAAAGAAAAATATTAAGCATATAAAGATACAAATGTTAAGGTCATTTGCCAAAAACTGTGAATGTGGTGTGTAAGTGCGCTTTAGGAAATATGGCCCCATAAAAGGGTGATTTCTGCTAAGACTGTGAACAGGATATCTACTCCAGAAAGAGGTCATGTTGCTTCCCAGAACATCCAGCTGATCCCAGAGTGTCTTTCAGTCATTCACTCCTCAGTGAGGTCATTCTGGCCTGCAGCCTTTCAGAGCAGGGGAAGCTTAATCAGAATAAGACCCTGGGCAATAAAGAAGGGATGAGAAAGAAAGACTGAACATGGCCGGGCGCGGTGGCTCAAGCCTGTAATCCCAGCACTTTGGGAGGCCGAGGCGGGTGGATCACAAGGTCAAGAAATCGAGACCATCCTGGTCAACATGGTGAAACCCCGTCTCTACTAAAGATACAAAAAAATTAGCTGGGCACGGTGGCGCGTGCCTGTAATCCCAGCTGCTCAGGAGGCTGAGGCAGGAGAATTGCCTGAACCCAGGAGGTGGAGATTGAGGTGAGCTGAGATCGTGCCATTGCACTCCAGCCTGGGTAACAAGAGCGAAACTCCGTCTCAAAAACAAAAAATAAAAGAAAGACTGAACACTTAAGAGATCTGAAGATAAAGCTCCAGCATATTTTAATGACATCTTCATCTGTACATGTGCATTCCACAAACTCCCACACGTCAACCATAGAGCCTCCCTGTACAACTGCCACGATGAAGACACTGCACTGATTTTCTTAAAGGGAGTCTCAAAAGTAGAGTGATTTTATTTTGCGACAAATAAATCAAATCTGATCAAAACTTGTGCTTTTTTCATATATGTATATACATTTATCCAAGACTATTCTTCAAGCTTTTCCATTGTATTTGCAGCTGCCTATTGTAGCTTCCATTAATAACGTCCTCAAATCCCTAGGGCAGCTCCTATGCACCTCTGGCACAAGGAGAGAGTTATTTCTCTGAGGTAAAGCTTCATTTAAATAATTCACTAGTAGCAGAAGCTCCCAAAGACTCTTGATACATCGATGGATGAGCCTTTCATTTAGCTGTCTATTGTGAATCAGCTTTGAGTTTTATGCTTTAAAAGTATATTTATGTTTATGTACAGGGACTGCTTGCCATTCCATTTTCATGTTGGTCAAACAGTGGGACGCAGGGTGTCTTTGATCCTCGAAAGCACGCCGAGCACACATGCAAGCGGAAGCCGTGAAGCTCACCCCTCAGTATTAGCAGGAAGTTCTGCTATGTAAGCAGTAGAAAGTGAGCAGCATAAGACATGAACTGAAATAAAGGGATTTATTTTTTCAGGATCAGAATCTTCATGGAGCTATCTAGTATTAGAACTTTAGCAACATTATGAGCAGCTAAAATTTTACCAGTGAAGACGTCAACCTCCTCCTTTATGAACATAAAAAGAAGACTTAAATTCAACCTCTAGCAACCCTGAGAGTAAATGACAGTGTAGTAAAGAATTCAGCTTTGTCAAAGCGAGATCTGCTCTGTTTGGGTCCTGGGAGGTAACCTCTAAGCCCTTGAAGTGTCTGGCGTAATAAAAGTATCTTTGTTTTTCTGGGATTCTTTGGCCATACAAAATCAAGTAATTTAGGGTAGGGGCTTTGGTTAACACAGTGTCAGCTTGACCTCTGAAAGGACTGAAGATGGAGACCAACCACATGAAATGATCTAGCAACATTATTTGTTTGAGCCCCAGCAAAAACTCTGGACACCATGGCTCAAATGAGCTCCCTTGACTGGCTCTCTTCAGCGTGTATTGCCATGCATCATTGCCAAAAAGTAACATTGGTTATGACTTAATGAGAAGAGGGCCACTGGAAGGTCCATGTTTGTAACTTTCCTGAATTTGGCTCTATTTCCTCATTCACTTCCTGCTGTTAATTCACAGTTTTGCTGCTGTGATACAATGTAACCATGAGTATAACAGCTTAATTTCAATCTTGTGAGTCCCTCTAGCAAATTATCAAAACAAAGATTTTGAGGATCTATGAACTTGCAGCTGGTGTCAGAAGTGAGAGTGGTCTTGTGGACATTGTTTTCTAACTTCACAATGGCACTCCTCTTTTTCTCTTCATTTTGCGCAAATTAGTTTCAGTTTTAAAATAATAACATATCTATTGGCTTCTCTGCATAATCTCAAAGCTGGAAAGAGCTGTAAGAGAGTACTAATTATAGATACTATCTCTCGAGAAGGGAGTGAGGCAGTAATTTCTGCTTGAAGGTGGGGAAATTGAGGCCCCAAAACACTAACTATATATGGATAGTGGCATTTGCTGAAAGTTAAGTAGCAAGTTTAAGTTAATCTAAGACAGTATGTAATTTCAAATTCCACTACCTATTAGTTTCTGGACATGAAAGGCATCTTAAATATGGTAGTACCTAGTGAGAATAAGTTTTAAAATAAGCTAATATAGTTTGAATATTTGTTCCCTCCAAATCCTGCTGAAATTTGGTTCCCCAGTGTTGTAGATGGGCCCCGTGGGAGGTGCTTGAGTTATGGAAGCAGATTCCTCATTAATTGCTTGGTGTCATTCTCATGGAAGTGAATGCACCTTCATTCTTACTTCCTGCAAGATGTAGTTGTTAAAAATAGACTGGAACCTTAGTCTTCTCTTCCTTCCTTCCTCTCGCCATGTGATGTCAGCTTCCCTTTGCCTTCTGCTATGAGTGGCAGCTCCCTGAGTCCTCACCAGATGCAGATGACAGCTCCATGTTTCTTGTACAGTCTTCAGAACTATAAGCCAAATAAATCTCGTTACCTAGCCTCAGGTATGCCTTTATAGCAACACAAAATAGACTAAGACATCAGCTAAGCTCAAAGTGTTGTCTTTACATTTTTGGAATAGTAATTATTAGAGGTAAGGAGGGGAAAATGTTGGAGCAGCACGTTTTAATGATAACCCCATGGTAAATTCCTACTATCTGAGCATACTAGAAGTCACTAACAAGGAGAACGGTTGGGAAATAGGCCTTATGCATATCATTAACATATTTACTTGATGAAGAATAATATTCACCACCAGCCCTACAGAATAAAGAATAGGTGCACCTTTAACCTCTCTATTGGCAAGCTGAAAGCTGATAAATTGACATTGAGGATGAATGTTTTCCCTGTAGATAATGGGAACGGAACCAAAGAAATTTATTTATTTATTTATTTTTTGAGATGGAGTTTTGCTCTTGTTACCCAGACTGGAGTGCGATGGTGCGATCTCAGCTCACCGCAACCTCCGCCTCCTGGGTTCAGGCAATTCTCCTGCCTCAGCCTCCCGAGTAGCTGGGATTACAGGCACACACCACCATGCCCAGCTAATTTTTGTATTTTTAGTAGAGACGGGGTTTCACCTTGTTGATCAGGATGGTCTCGATCTCTTAACCTCGTGATCCACCCGCCTTGGTCTCCCAAAGTGCTGGGATTACAGGCGTGAGCCACCGCGTCTGGCCCAAGGAATGCATTTCTTTGAGCCAGTGTCTAGCACAGTGCCACCTGTTTGGCATAGCATTCAAATAATGTTTGTTGAATATGACTGAAGCCATTAACCAATGCTGCCACAAGCAGCTGTTGAGAATGTTCCTTTTGTTGACCCCACTGTCACAGAAACATCACAGCGTTGCCTGGCAGCCATCCTGTCAATATACCTCTGCCCACCTGGCTGCTGTGGATTGGTCCAAAGATGACACACATTGGGCCAATGCACCATTCCCTTGGGAAATTCGAAGAAATCATGGAATCCAGCCTTGGTTTGCCTCTCCTTTGGAAAGAAAGAGATGTTAACTTAAGAATGATTGGTAGCTACTTCCTGCCATATGGGCTGGGAAGTGGAGAAGGCAGGGAAGCATGAAGCAGAGGTACTCACAGAAGCAGAGCTGCAAAGTGGAAGAAACTTTGTATAAGCCTGGAGCCTTAGTTCCAGCTCATTCCTGAGGAGGGGCTCCTTCTCTGTCTTTGGGGTCAGTGAGATGTGCTGTTAGCATAACAAATCTCTATCTGTGCTCCAGCTAGCTCCAGCGAGTTTCTCTTATTTGTAATCAGAAAAGTCCCAACCAAAGTGTTCTAATAAAAAATAAATCAATGTCTTTCGCAATCTGACCTCACTGAGGGATTTGTGATCTAAAAGTATCATGTCCTACACAGGAACTCAGGAGTACCAATGATTCCCTCACTTGTACACATGCTTTGCTTTTTCAACTACAGACACTGATCATTACACCAACAACTTACGCAAGCAAGATGAATGGCTATGAGGAGAATCAGGAGACATGGGTTCAAGTCCCGGTTCTGCCACCAACTTCCTGGTGACTTAGACCCAGCAATAATCTCTCCGATCTTCATTTCCCTTTCATAAAGGTAGATGTAATAATACCCCGTCTGCCAGCTTTGCAAAAATAAAAAGATCTTTGCAAATGTTCAGTGATGAAGAATTCTTTAAAAAATTATGATCTACATAAATGGGAGTAAAAAAGCTGGTTTGGAAAGCCTACGGAAAGTAGGCTTCGGCAAAACAATGTAGGCATGAGCCGAGCAGGTAAAGATTAAGACCAGAGCAGTCCAAGTGGATACCGAGGCAAGAGCAGACACCCTGAGAAGGAACTACTGTCATTAAACCAACTTTTCAGGAAAGGACACAGAGGTGTGAAGTCACTCACTGAAAGCCACACATCTAGTCAGTACCAGAGGTTGAATCACACCCATGGATGCCCACTTCTGAAACACACACTCCTAATCAGTGCCCTTAATTCCTTAAGGGAAATTGTTTTCAATTAGGATGCAATTGTAGAGATGAGCTATGAGTGGCTTTTGCTGTGTTGGTATCTGTGCAGGCTCATATTGTTTAAAAATAAATAGAAAAGTATGAGAATTTGAACAAACTCTTTTTATGGCCAAGGCTCAACTACTTTTGTTCTTTTCTTTCTTTTTTTGAATTATACTTTAAGTTCTGGGATACACATGCAGAATTACAGGTTTGTTACATAGGTACGCATGTGCCATGCGGTTTGCTGCATCCATCACCCCATCATCTACATTAGGTATTTTTCCTAATGCTATCCCTCCTCTAGCCTCCACCCCTTGACAGGCCCTGGTGTGTGATGTTCCCCTTCCTGTGTCTATGTGTTCTCATTTTTCAAATCCCACTTATGAATGAGAACATGCGGTGTTTGGTTTTCTGTTCCTGTGTTAGTTTGCTGAGAATGATGGTTTCCAGCTTCATCCATGTCCCTGCAAAGGATGTGAACTCATCCTTTTTATGGCTACATAGTATTCCAAGGTGTATATGTGTCACATTTTCTTTAGCATGGTACTGTACCAAAACAGATACATAGACCAATGAAATAGAACAGAGGCCTCAGAAATAATGCGATACATATATAACCATCTGATCTCTGACAAACCTGACAAAAACAAGCAATAGGGAAAGGATTTCCGTTTTAAAAAATGATGTTGGGAAAACTGGCTAGTCATATGCAGAAAACTGAAACTGGACCCTTTCCTTGCCCCTTATACAAAAATAAACTCAAGCTGATTTAAAGACTTAAATGAAAGACCTAAAACCATAAAAACCCTAGAAGAAAACCTAAGCATAACCACTCAGGACATAGGCATGGGCAAAGGCTTCATGACTAAAACACCAAAAGCAATGGCAACAGAAGCCAAAATTGACAAATGGGATCTAATTAAACTAAAGAGCTTCTGCACAGCAAAAGAAACTATCATCATAGTGAACGGGCAACCTACAGAATAGGAGACTTTGCAATCTATCCATCTGACAAAGGGCTAATATCCAGAATCTACAAGGAACTTAAACAAATTCACAAAAAAGAAACAAGCAACACCATCAAAAAGTGGGCAAAGGATATGAAGAGCCACTTCTTAAAAGAAGACGTTTATGTAGTCCAGAAATGTATGCAAAAAAAAAAAAAATTCACCATCACGGGGCCGGGTGTGGTGGCTCACACCTGTAATCCCAGCACTTTGGGAGGCCGAGGCAGGTGGATCACGAGGTCAAGAGATCGAGACCATCCTGGTCAGCATGGTGAGACCCCGTCTCTACTAAAAATACAAAAAATTAGCTGGGCATGGTGGTGCGTGCCTGTAATCCCAGCTACTCGGGAGGCTGAGGCAGGAGAATTGCCTGAACCCAGGAGGCGGAGGTTGCGGTGAGCCGAGATTGTGCCATTGCACTCTAGCCTGGGTAACAAGAGCGAAACTCCATCTCAAAACAACAACAACAACAACAACAACAAAAATCCTCACCATCACTGGTCAATTAGAGAAATGCAAATTAAAACCACAATGAGATACCATCTCATGCCAGTTAGAATGGCAATCATTGAAAAGTCAGGGGACAACAGACGCTGGAGAGGGTGTGGAGAAATAGGAATGCATTTACACTGCTTGTGGGCTGTAAACTAGTTCAACAATTGTGAAAAACAGTGTGGCCATTCCTCAAGGATCCAGAACCAGAAATGCCATTTGACCCAGCAATCCCATTACTGAGTAGATACCCAAAGGATTATAAATCATTCTATCATAAAGAGTCCGCTTTCCATGAAGACAAGGACAAGGTGAGTGAAGCAATGATGTTCTCAGCACCCATGGCATTTATGTTCTGGGCTGAATAGAGGATGCTGTTTGAGAGACAGGTCCCTATCTGTATGTATTAGAGGCATCCATAACTACTTCGTTCTGAGCCATGAGGGACAGGCTAAGGAGATCCCTTCTCAGGAAAAGAGGAAGAAAAACAATGAGAAATGTAGAGGCAAACAGAGAGCTACAAAAAAGAGTATTGATGGTAAGATGGAGAAACAAGAAACCACATTAAGAGCGCACACGAGCCTAAGCAAAGAGAGAAGCAAAAGAGAGACAGAAACCAAAGAAATAGAATATTTAACAGAGATAAAGAAAGATAACCTTAAACAGAGACAGGTAGCTAGAGATTAGCAATTAGGGAGTGAACATGATTAGAGACATAGAGAAAGATGGCGAGTGACTTCTACCTACGCAGTTTGGTCTGTAAATGCCCCAGCTCCAACGCCTGAAAACAATTACCTAAGTGTTTATCCCTCCTGCACCTGAATCTATCCATACTTCAGTACTTCCTGCCTCATCTCCACTCTACCTCATTAATCACATTTCTTTTTGGTCTGAAGAAATTTTCTTATCCAGCATGGACTAAAGTAAAATTTGAGAAACATCAGGTTGCCACAGGACTAACAAGCGAGTAGCAGCTGTTTAATCAAAACCTAATCTTGATTACATGGCACCACAGGGAGGAAAACTCCAGAGGAAAGACATGAAATGGTTAAAAATTGAGTCTGAAATGAAGGTTTTACTTAAACATGAATGAACCCTGTTCAGTGGAAAGTGTAAGCTGGTAGGTGCCACATAGGTTCCGATGGCTAGAGTCTTGAGCTACACTCTCTGTCCCTCATACACACCCCATCTTTGCCTCTTGGGTGTACTGGGAGCTTCAGGGAAGAGAACAGGTCTAAACTAATTTTGTATGTTAAAGTGCAGCATAGGGACCTGAAACAGAGAGGGGACATCAAAACAAAACAAAACACAGAATAGCACAGCAACTGTCATCTCTCACAGACTCCACCATCTGATACTGTTAAGGGCAGGTGACTTGGGGAAGGGCAAAATGTGTGAGCCCCTTTTTAAACCCTGGACCTGACATGGTAACCCAAAACTCAAGATCTAAGATGCATCTCAGAGGAGTATGTCTAGTTAAGACATATTTACAAAATCCCCTACAGGTATTTTAGAAAAAGAGGAGGAGAGGAAACAATGGTTTTTAAGGAAAATTGGCAGAGAACTGTCATCCCTTCCATCCTTTCAAATCAATTTTATATTTTTCAATAAAAAAATATCAAGTCGTAAGGCCGGGCGCGGTGGCTCAAGCCTATAATCCCAGCATTTTGAGAGGCCGAGGCGGGTGGATCAAGAGATCGAGACCATCCTGGTCAACATGGTGCAACCCCGTCTCTACTAAAAATACAAAAAAATTAGCTGGGCATGGTGGTGCGTGCCTGTAAACCCAGCTACTCAGGAGGCTGAGGCAGGAGAATTAGCTGAACCCAGGAGGCGGAGGTTGCGGTGCGCTGAGATTGTGCCATTGCACTCCAGCCTGGGTAACAAGAGTGAAACTCCGTCTCAAAAAAAAAGAAAATAGCAAGTCATAGGATTTTTAAAAAGCATATTTCTATACATAAATTAAATATTATTTTATATTATAAATTATATATCTATTTCTTCCACATTAGATTCACCAAAAAGAAACAGATGATGTCAGGAGGAACGGGAGAGAATCCACATCAGAAGGTCAGAAGGAATCTGAAAGCGTTCTTCCGATGCCTCACTTAAAAAATGAAAACTAGAAGGCCGATTATGACAAATACTGCTTTTCTGTTTGATAAATCATTCCCCATGCTCTCCTTCAAATACAAAAGCAAAGCCATATTAACCTATTAAGCCAGTTGAATGTACAAATAAGATGCTTTGCTAAATTATTATAATTCAAACCAATCATGATGTGATGTGTTTTCCAATACATACACATAATATTTCAGGACATGCATACATATTAATGGAACTGCTTGCTGCAAAGCTGTTTCTGTTTTCCTGTATCATGTCAAATCCATCTCCACCATTTCCTCACATAAGCCTTGGCAGCACTGTGCAATGGGACTTTCTGCAGTGAAGGTATTTTATACCCTGTGCTCATCAGTGCAGTGCCCACTGTGACTGTTGAGTCCTTGACATGAGGCCAGTGCAACCCACGAAATGAACTTTGAAATTAAAGTTAAATAGCCACATGCAGTGGCCATTGTCCTGGACATTCCATTCTTAGATGAGTATATTTATTTCTCAAGAATACAAAAAACAACACTGAAAATGACCAGTTGCTAACATTGACCTCTTCACAAAAACACACCAAAATGTTGTGTCACTTATTAAAAGAAAAACAAAACAATCCTCTTTTTAATCCTTCAACAAATTTCTTTCAATAAGAGGAAACCATATGTTTTTCCTTGTTTGTTTACATGTTTTGGTTTTCTTAAGTGCAAAATGATAGATTTTCCAATGTAGGCAACTCTTTTTCTATAAATGGGAACTGTTCAGCTACCTACAAACCCTCAACAATCCTAAAGATTTCACTATTGCTGTCAAAGGATCTGCTTTGAAACAGAGTTCTTATCTTCTTTCCTAAGAAAAATGGACCATCAATTTAGCAGTTTCCAAGAAATGACATTTTCTTCTTAAATATGGGCAATTGCATGCCCTTCTCCAAACAATGCCACCCTCTGGGATCCAGGGGTCTATAGGAATTGATAGCTTGAGAGATCTTTGTGTTATAATAACACTGTTCATTTCTATGCTCAAGTGATCACTTTCTAAAAGCTTATGATGTTGTGGTTGGTGGATGTCAGTTGCGCGGGCCTCATCTAGAGAAGGAAAATGAGAAGAATTACAGTTAAGTGGGATCGGGGTGCCCAAAGCAGTTTGGTGATTTCTGTCAAGTGTGTAGCTCACGGACATGACCTCTTATAAATTCCACTTGAAAGAGAGATCTCAGGGAAATAATTTTAGCTATTTGATTTCAGCTGATGCTGTTACTGGGAAGGGAAAAAGAATGCATGCCCTTTCTTAACACTTTAAATTCAGGACTTGCATTCGCTATTGGGAAGCAGGTGAATCATGACTGAAGCAAAGAGGCAGAGGTACCAAACCAATGATGGGGATTGCGTGATCATGACAGATTACTGACACCCAGAATTAAACTAATCTCTATGTTTGTACGTCACAGTGAAAATTGGAAATAACTTCCAGTACTAGTGTTAAAATGTTGAATCTTGGTGCATCTTAAAACGCCATAGAAACAGGCGAAGTAACTTAACTCAGGAAGCAAGGTTCTGATTCTGGAACTGTGATTACATAGGACTTCATCCCAAATCTGCTATGTTCATTGTCCTGCAATCCTGAGAAAATTACTCTCCCTCAGCCATTTATTTATGTTTCCCTTATCTGAGCTGATGTCACCCCCAGTTCCAAAAATCCTACCTTGACCAAGGCCTGCAGCCAGTCAGCATCTGATATTCCTCTTTCCCTTGTAATGGGTTCAAGAAATGGCACATGCCAAGACTCATTCTATCAGAGTGGGTGTTTTCACCTGTAATCAGAAACATTCTACTTAGCACACAGGCTTTTCTCAGACACGGTATCTCTTTCAGACAACACGTTCTAGCACAGCTCCTACTCTGTTCATCTTACGGTTGAGGACATAGGTGTCCCAGAAGCGAGTTGTCTTTTCCAAGATCACTACTAAAAACCATGGTTAGCCGGGCGCAGTGGCTCACGCCTATAATCCCAGCACTTTGGGAGGCCGAGGCGGGTGGATTACGAGGTCAAGAGATCGAGACCATCCTGGTCAACAAGGTGAAACCCCGTCTCTACTAAAAATACAAAAATTAGCTGAGCATGGTGGTACGCACCTGTAGTCCCAGCTACTTGGGAGGCTGAGGCAGGAGAATTGCTTGAACCCAGGAGGCGGAGGTTGCAGTGAGCCGACATTGTGCCATTGCACTCCAGTCTGGGTAAGAACAGTGAAACTCCGTCTCAAAAAAAAAAAAAAAAAAAAATGGTAGAAATAGAATTCAAACCAAAGTCTAGAGGCTCCAAATTACATTAAATGGTTCCTTTCAGTAATGACCATAGTAATATTAGCAGTATCTGTGGCTTTGTTAATAGCAGAAATCATATTTTCATATCATATTACAGTCCTAGCAGATGTTCTAAAATGTCACTATGTTCGCCACTATAAAATTATGCTAGCTATTTTACCCATCACTAGATCTTTGTATTAGTCTGTTCTCATTAAGACATACCCAGGACTGGATAATTTATAAAGGAAAATGGTTTAATTGACTCACAGTTTCACATGGCTGGGGAGGTCTCACAATCATGGCAGAAGGGAAAGGGGTGTCTTATGTGGCAGCAGGCAAGACAGAGCTTGTGCAGGGGAGCTCCCCTTTATAAAGCCATCAGATCTTGTGAGATTTATTAACTAACACGAGAGCAGCTGGGAAACACCCATGCCCATGATTGAATTACCTCCTACCAGGTCCCTCCCATGACATACGGGAATTATGGGAGCTACAAGGTGAGATTTGGGTGGGGATACAGCCAAACCCCATCAATCTGGTTACTAACAAGGAAATGGATATGTTATCACTGTTTCACAGATTGTGATACATACACTGCAGTATAATTCATCTCCTTTGTGATGCTATGTATTTTACGTCATGCATGTAAAGTACTTTATACTTCATTTTACTGTACTTTGAGTAATAATGTGAGAAGGTTCTACAGGCTTCTTCAGACTGCCAAAATGATCCACAGAATAAAGAAAGGTTCAGACACTGCAGAACTGTACCAGAAGCTCCAGAACAGGGACTAAGTTTGTTTGGTTTACTGCTTTCTCCCCTGTGCCTAGAACAATGTTTGGCATATCATAAAACATGGAAAACTGTTTGGTCCAACAATTTATGGAATGAATTTTGTAAATGAAGGAACTGAAACTCAAAGGATTTGGATAACTTTGCAAGGATTCTGAAGCTGGGAAGTGGAAGAACCAGGATGTGAACACACATCTGCCTGCCCCCTCATCACACCCCAAATGCTGCCTATCACCATTTGGACATGGACGGTTCCCATTTCATCCAATAAAACTTGCACAGAGCCATGCTCTGTACAGCTGATGAAGACAGAGCAGCTGTTCTGTGTGACAGAGCGTGGACTGTCCGTGTTGTGCTTTTCATTGTGATGATTTTCGTCTTCACAAGCTTGTCTTCAGTTCTCTCTACTGACAGTGGTCATGAGCTGAGATAGCCACTTTTTAGGAGAATTCTGACAGGAAGGGAGTTAGAGTCTGATGTGTCAGTCAGAGACACAATGAAAAGATGAAGCCAAAATGCATGGAAGAGAATGAATTTATTACTTACAGACCCCAGAGAAGTCAGGGGTGCTGATGGGAGGCTGACGGGAGGTCTGGAGGCACAGGAGCCATCGACCAGCAGGAGGGGAGACAGAGAGGACCTGTGGGACTCCACCTTTATTAAGGTTCATGAACATTCTCCCTTAGGCTTCCCCATGGAGTTATGGGTTGGGTATTTAAAGAAAACATTTTGTAAGCAGGGAATTTATTTACATCACTCTGGTGTTGACAAGCAGGTTCTAGCACAGTCAGTAGCTGTGACATTTGTGGATTTGGGGTCAGTGAGATGAGGAACAAGCTGGCTGTGTCACAGAGAGCACACGGGGAGGGGAAGTTTTGACGAGGCCAAAGATGACAAGTTATGACCGGGTTTTAAACAACTGATGACAGGCCAGTACATAAATGCCCAGGCAGCAACTCTGTTAAGCAAATTTATGGCAGTCTGAAACTGCAGTTTGGACACCCCTGGGGCTCAGACCTCACCTACTTTAACCCCCTTCTATTGCAACTGTGAACAATGTAACTGGAGCAATCAATGAGGTCTTGCCAGATGACAATCTTGGCTTGCCTTGTTTTTCACTCCTGCCTCCATTCTGAGCTCTCCCTCATGCACGGTGAGGCTGGCAGCATCCTCAGATGGGATGGACAGTCTGGCCAGGATCACCATGCAAACTGAGGATTGAGTCCCAGCAAACTGACCAAGCACCATAATCACAGTTGTGTTTTTGAGAGGTGCCCCATGCTGGGCACTGTTCAACACTTACCGTACTTATCAACTGACTAAATGTGATGATGACCCTGTGAGATGGTGAATCAGACAGGATAGATGAGATAGGTTGCTGTAACAAAAAATACCTGGCATATCATAAGTCATTTTGACTTAAAACCGCAAAGGTTTATTTCTTGTTCACCTGTGTGTCCATCATTATCTAAAGCCTATTACGTACGTGGTTCATATACCAAGAACCAGGCTGATGGAGCAGCCTCTATATGAAAAGCAGATGTTCATGTGGAAATACACTCTGAAGTTTCTTGCCATGGGGACAACATGTTCCAGTCCAGAAGTGATATGGCTGACATCTGGTCACACCTTCCATTGCCAGTTACATTGATTTTACCCAACAGGTAGAAATATTTGTAAGCAACACTAATGACAATCACAGATAGGTTCTATTATTAGCCCCATTTTAAAAAAGTATACTTTAAGTTCTGGGGTACGTGTACAGAATGTGCAGGTTTGTTACATAGGTATACACATGCTATGGTGGTTTGCTGCATCCATCACCCCATCATCTACATTAGGTATTTCTCCTAATGCAGCCTTCTCTAGCCTCCAGCCCCTGATGAACCCCAGTGTGTGATGTTCCCCTCCCTGTGTCCATGTGTTCTCACTTTTCAACTCCCACTTATGAGTGAGAACATGCGGTGTTTGGTTTTCTGTTCCTGTGTTAGTTTGCTGAGAATGATGGTTTTGAGCTTCATCCATGTCCCTGGAAAGGACATGAACTCATCCTTGTTTATGGCTGAATAGTATTTTATGGCATATATGTGCCACATTTTCTTTTGCATGGCACTGTACCAAAACAGATATATTTACCGACGGAACAGAACAGAAGCCTCAGAAATAAGGCCACACATGTATAACCATCTGATCTTTGACAAATAGGACAAAACAAGCAATGGGGAAAGAATTCAGCTATGGTGATATCCCGACAGAACTGAACAAGAACGTGGTGCCCACACAGTGATGCACTTGGGTTTCATCAGCAGATGCAAACTGCATGTTTGCTAAAGTAACAACATAAACTATTTAAGACTCAAAAGGGAGTCAGACATAAATGACTCTGAATTAAAGACTTAAATATAAGACATAAAACCATAAAAACCATAGAAGAAAATCTGAGCAATACCATTGAGGGCATAGGCATGGGCAAAGAAATCATGACTAAAACAGCAAAAGCAATGGCAACAAAAGCCAAAATTGACAAATGGGATCTAATTAAACTAAAGAGCTTCTGCACAGCAAAAGAAACTATCAACAGAGTGAACAGGAAACCTACAGAATGAGGTGTTTGGTTTTCTGTTCTTGTGTTAGTTTGATGAGAATGATGGTTTCCAGCTTCATCCATGTCCCTGCAAAGGACATGAACTCATCCTTGTTTATGGCTGCATAGTATTTTATGACATATAAAATGGAAAAGACATGAACTAATCATTTTTTATGGCTGCATAATATTCCATGGTGTGTATGTGCCACATTTTCTTTATTCAGTCTATCACTGATGGGCATTTGGGTTGGTTCCAAGTCTTTGCTATTGTGAATAGTGCCTCAGTAAATATATATGTGCATGTGTCTTTATTAGCCCTGTTTTAGGATGGAGAAGCTGACCCTCAGAAACATAAGGTGAACTACCCTGAGTCACATAGCTGGGAACATAGGAACCAGGCTTTGGATCTGGGCAGCCTGACTCCAGAGGCTAGTCCCTTAGCACCTGTGCCATTCGGCCTCTTCCTAACTTGTGGGGTCTCCACTCAGTATCAGAAGTTGATACTACTACTGACCTGAGTGGACAATCACAGGTACTGCCAATATTACCATAGTCATTGCTGAAATGAACCACTTGATGTAATTTGGAGCTTCTCTGAGGAGAAGTGCTTGGTGGTTGAAGTCAGGAAAGCTTCCAACCCAAGTTTCACCCTTACAAAGCCCATCACCATTCGTTTGTGTATTTTATCTCTGAATTATGTTATGTACATGCAGCTACACAGATATCCTGACAGAACTGAACAAGAACGTGGTGCCCACACAGTGACGCCCTTCGGTTTCATCAGCAGATGCAAGCTGCATGTTTGGTAAAGTAACAACCTAAACTATTTAAGACCCAAAAGGGAGTCAGGCATAAACAAGCAGTGTAGGCACATCTGTTCAGAAGAGTGAAATATTAGCCTAACACTTGTTGGAAAATTGCATATTTTAATAAAACCAACAGTCATTCTTAACAAGAACAGTTGTTTCATATGTGCATTAAAAGTGTCAGTTCGTTAAATGTAAACGTTTAAATGATATGACAGTTTGGTAACACCGTTGGTAGTTTCATATTTTAAAAATATTTCTGAAGACAAAAAAAAGCGGAAATGGTTTCAAAGCTGTGAACTGTACTGCAAGGCATTGGTCGGCAGGAAGGGCTGCAGCTCCAGAGAAAACCCCCTTCCATCTACCAAGAGACTCCACCAAAATCTAGGCAGCTCCATGCTGCAGAGTTCCCACCCACCTGGAAATAATGAGTTTCTATTTCGGACCCATCCCAGTGAAACTGACTTTGCTACATCATCTGATGGTGGTTTGAAGTGTCCACCTCTGAGGCTGCAGGAAATCCAGGTCTACAGTAGACTCTAGAGAAGCTGTCTTAGAGAAGATCAGGCTTTTCTTCTGAAAGCTATCCCATTATCTTTTAATATAGAAAAATTGAACCAGGATATCAAATGCTTTCCTAGAACAATCTGTAAGACGACGAAGACAGATGCAAGATGCCATCCCCAGAAATCGTACTTGTTGAGGACCCAGACACTCTCTGTGCTCCTAGGAGGCCATGTGGTCTTAGAAAAGTCTTTTTTCCTCTGTGGGAATGTTTTTCACACTAAATTATGAAGGGACAGCAATCATCATTCTGGATTACCCTCACAGGTATTCAAGTAAAAACCTGGGAGTAACCCAGATCCCAGCTTGGAAAAGAAGAGAGGAGGGGCACTCATCAGACAGCCTTCCGCTGGGTCTCCCCTGAAGTCTTCCCCAGCTGTAGAGAGCGCCCTCACTTGAGGTTACACCTGAGTGAGATGAGGTGCAAAGGCCCATTTTGGCCTGATGCTGGACAATGAGATCAGCAATGCCTGCCCCAGAATTCACTTCTGGGCTGACTGAACTAGATTCTGCACTTAAGTGTGACTCCAACTTCTCTCTTTCCTGGGTCTTGGTCCCTTACACTTTGAACCTCAAATTCTGCCTGAGCATCTACTACAGAGTCCAACTTGCATCTGACCCAGTAAAAATGACAATGAGTGGATTCAAACTCCAGCTTCCTTGTCATGGGGGAGGCAATGCGGAGCCAAGCTCTGTCCCCTCTCAGGGTACGTCCTGCAGGATGGAGCCAACACTGATAACCTGCTCATCAAGATGAAGGCTGAGCCTCCGACATCGGCCTATCCCTGCCTCACTTCCCTACCCCTCCCACTCTGCATCCTCAGTATGCTTCCTGGAGTCACGTTCCTCAAGATATGCCTACACCTAAATCTCTGTTTCAAGATCTGCTTTGGGGGCACAACCCAAGCAAAGACAGCCTCACAGATCCCATGGGCATCTGTAAAACACAACACCAGCATTTCCCACTGTGTCTCACTGCTTCATAATCTATAAGCCTCTTTCACAGATAGTCTCCCATTAAGCCCCAAAGTGTGTCTCCTGTGGTCAGTGACATCCATTTTGAAATGTAACAAAACAAAGGCAAAGGAAATCACACCTCTCAGTGAGTGTCCCCAGAGACCCCGTGTTATAGTTTTTCTTGTCAATCTATGGCCTGTGAGACTGCTCTATAGGTTTCATTCTGCACTTAAAGAATTAATGAGTACATATGTATGAAGCATTTTTAGAAAGACAACTCCAAGTTGATCTTAATTTGCTGGATGAAAGGATGAAAACATGGACAGAGAGTCTGGAGGTATCTCACAAAATTTCTCTTATCCACGTGCTTGGAGTGGCAGAGACGCAGCTCAGTGCTGCTCAACAGCCTTGCCATCCATGAGTCTGGAGCTCTGGTTGCAAGCCCCACTGAGTTCACGCCCGACACCCAACCTCTCCCAGCAGACAGCGCACCGGAGAAGGTCCAGGAGAAGGCCTTTGGGTAGATGACACCTGAGTGAGACCCGAATGAGAAGACAAGTTGACCATGAACATCTCTTGGGGATGAGGATCTCAGAGGAACAGCTGGTTTCAATAGCCTGAGGCAGAAGTGAGCTTGGGGTGCTCACCACAAAAGGACACTAAGGTCTTCTGTCCCTTAGTGAGGGACAAGGAGAGGGTTTGAACACAACATGGAAGTAGGAGGGAAGAGCCTGATCCGGATGGGTCATGCGGACTACACGAAGGAACTTGGATTTTTTTTGGGAATGTAATGGGACACAAGACCACGTTTTAAGGGGAGCAGAGCAAAGGAACTGTGGCTCTGGGACCACCAGGCCTTCCCATCTTTATGGATTATTGCATGAATTTTGCATATTGAAAGCTCTAACTAGTAGTATGAAATCTGTATGCATTCATGAAATAAACAGAATCATGTTTTTTTCCACCCTCCAAAGATGTTCACATCCTATTCCCAGAACCTGTGACTATGTTACTTTATATGGTAATAGGGACTTGAAAGACATGATTCATTTAAGGACTTTGAGATGGGAAGATTGTCCTAGATTATTTGCAGGTGCCCAATGTAACCACAGGGGTTTTATAAGTGGGGAGGGAAAAACATCACTGTCAGAGTGATATAGGGTAAGACTCGGTCAGCCATGGCTTCCTTTGGAGATGTAAAGGAGACACCAGCTAGGGAAGCTGAAAGAAAGGAACGCATTGTGCCCTTGAGCCTTCAGAAGGAACAGAGCCCAGCCAACACCTTGGTTTCAGCCCTTTAAAGCCCACTTTAGACTTCTGACCTCCAGAATGGTAAGAGAATATTTTTTCTTGCTTAAAGTCACCAAGTTTTAGTCATTTGTCACAGCAGCAACAAGAAACTAACACAGTTCATTACTTTAGTTGTCTCCCAATTTTACTGGACCCCAAGACATTTGTTTTAAATGGGCAATCTGTTTATATCCTGTAATATCACGTGGGAAGAAGCACACTGAGGAAATGTACTCTCCTCAGCAACGAACGCCTGGACCTCCCAATGCTGTGAAACCTTGAACAGCGTCACTGAAGAGCCTGTATAGAGTTGGGAGGCCCAGGATCATGTACCCCCAAGATATATGGGTTCTTAATAGGTTAAGGCCCCATAACCTTCTGAAACTCAGATTTATTTTTCAGTAAAATCGAGACTCATTATTCACTCAGCAGATATTTACAGAGCACCTATTACAAGTTAGACACTGGTCTAAGTCCCAGGTATAGCAGTGAGAAATAGAAGAGGGAAAAATGTCTTGTAACCAAGAAGCTTGCACTCAACTGGGAAAATGACACCATGCACAAACATGTATTGAGAAGACATAGGTATGATAAAGAAACGTAAAGCCGGAGAAGAGACAGTACTTGATGGGGTTGGTGTTTCCTGCAGGCTGTTTGGGAACAGCAACTATGATAAAAATGATACTCATGTAGAGATTTGATTGATGTAACTTGGGAGCCACGTAACTGTCTGGACAAGCGAGGGCCAGCCACAGGGAGAGGATGTGCAAAGGCTCTGAGGCAGGACTGTGTATGGAAGGTCTGGGAAGTCATAAGGAAGCCAGAGTGGCTGCAGCGCAATGAGCAAAGGACACAGAGAGTGGTGGGAGGTGGGGTCACAGAGCAGGCCAGGACCCCGCTGGTGGCCCTGGGAGGCCATAGGATGAATTTGGGGTGCTGCTCTAAGAGAGATAAGAAGGCATTGGAGGGGCCTGAGTAGAGGTAGGACATTATCTTACCAGCAAAGAAATGATGACACTAACCAGGCAAGAATGGCAGCAGACATGAGTGGCAGTAGCAGAAGCGTCGAGGAGGTTAGGAAAAGGGAGACACTTTGTAATTAGAGCCAGCCCAGTTTTCCGATGGGTTGAATGTCAGAGTGAAAGAAGGAGAAGAGATAATCCACATTTGCCGCTGGAGCTTGAATACCTGGAAAACTGGTGCATCAGTTTCCTAGGGCTGCTATAACCAAGTGCCACAAACCGGAGGCCGGAAGTTCAAAATGAAGTCAGCAAAGGCAGGTCCTACTGGAGTCTCTCAGGGAGAATTTGTTCCTGTCTCCCTCCCAGCTCCTGGTGTTGCAGGCGACCCACGGCGTTCCTTGCCTTGCTGATGATTTGCTCCAATCTCTGCTTCTGTCTTCACGTGGCCTTCTCGCTTGTGTCTCTGTGTGTCTTAAATCTCCCACTGCCTTTCTCTTATCCACACACCTGTAACAGGACTTAGGGCCCAACCGAGATCCAGGATGATCTTATCTTGAGATTCTTAACTTAATCGCATTTGTAGGGATCTTTTTCCCAAGGAAAGTGAAACTCACAGTTTGGATATATCTTTTGGGAGCAACCAATCAACCCACTACACATGAGAGGGGCCTTTTCTGGTTTTGAGAAGACAAGAATTGCTGGGGAATAGAGATCAACAAATCGGTTTGGGGCCTCGAGAGTTGAGGAGACCTATTAGGCACCTGAATGGAAATTTTGGGGAGATATTTGGCCATTTGAGATAGAATTTCAGGGAAATTATGGGTAAAGATATTAATCTGGGATAAATAAATGACTTTTAAACACATGCTACTGGATCAGGTCGCTTAGTATAAAACTAATGATGCATAGAGAAAATATGTTTTATACAATTTGATTTCTGGAATACGCCAATGTTCGGAGGTCAGGAAGAGAAGGAAAGACTAGTTAGCTGGCTGGGCACGGTGTCTCAAGCCTGTAATCCCAGCACTTTGGGAGGCCAAGGTGGGTGAATCATGAGCTCAGGAGTTCGAGACCAGCCTGGCCAAGATGGTGAACCCCCATCTCTACTAAAAATACCAAAGTTAGCTGGGTGTGGTCGTGGGCATCTGTAATCCCAGACACTCGGGAGGCTGAGGAAGGAGAATTACTTGAACCCGGGAGGCAGAGGTTGCAGTGAGCCAGGATGGCCCCACTGCCTTCTATCCTGGGCAACAGAGCAATACTCCGTCTACAAAAAAAAAAAGGGAAAAAGAAAAGACTAACAAGTCTGCCAAAGAACATTAAGGCAGTGAGGTTAAAGAAAAAGAACAGACAGAGTTGTGTATCAGACAGGAAGTGAACAAAATATTTGAAGAAAAATCAAGTAATCAGCTCTACCAAAAATTGTTGAGCATTCAATTATAAAGATCATTGTTTCTTCTCTTCTTACCTCACGGAGAATCTAATAAGAATCTGCGTAACAAAGCACTTGGTAAATTACAAACCATTAGCATAATGCCAAGTGACGTTATGAACCCAGGTTCCTACCCTGTTTTACCTGAGATCCAAACACTCCTGTTAGACTCTGCCCTTATGACATGGTTTGGTCGTGTCCACAACAAAATCTCATATTGAACTGTAATTCCCACAATGCCCGCGTGTTATGGGAGGTAATTGAATCATGGGGCCAGTTACCTCCATCCTGCTCTCGTCATAGTGAGTTGACAGTGAGTGCGTTCTCGCGAGATCCGATGGTTTTATAAGGGGCTCGTTCCCACGTTCGCCCTGCACTTCTACTTGCTGCCGCCATGTGAGGCAAATGGAGGACAATAGCTGCTTCCCCTTCCGCCACGATTCTGAATTCCCGAGGCCTCCCCAGCCATGTTGAACTTGTTGAACTGTGAGTCAATTAAACTTCTTTCCTTTATAAACTATCCAGTCTCGGGTATGTCCTTATAGCAGTATGAGAATGAACTTATACAGCCTGTGATAAAATATTACAGGCCGGCACAGAGACAAAATTCTCTGGGAAGAATTTAGACAAATGAGAGAATTAGAAATCTCAGAGGCAAATATAAGCAGTTGCCATTTCAGATGCAGAGTGACGGAATTAATGTCACCCAGAGTCAGGCATTGCCTGTAGAGATGTCTGCATACTCGGGGCCATGTGGAGAGAAAGGCATTCTTCAAAGGACAGGCACAGTGTCATCAGCATCAAGCCAGAATCTCCTAGCTCCATCTGCGCTAAGGCCAGATGAGCTCCACAGGCACAGACCCTGGTGGCTTCTGTGATATAGACAGCAGGCTTTTAAAAGAGGCTTTGCACAGATGTTTTCAAAATTGGGCCGTGCTTTGTTCTGTGAATATTGAGAGGCGGCGAGGCCACAATGGCATCTTCATTATTAAAAGTTTCACCAGTAAAAGTTTCCAATTAGTCCTCACTCCAGGGCTTTTGAATATAAGGCTATACTGAAACTAAAGCTTTGAATTCCATAGCTGTAGTTCCTGCTACATGACTAATGGGTCTCATTTACACAGACAGCCCAGAAACAGGGGCAGTTGTGACCCTACAGAAAGAACAAAGGACCTACCTCCTGGAGACCTTTGCCTCAATCCCAACCAACCCCTCAGCAGAGGCATCAAGTACACTTGTTGATTTCTTTCTGTGCCACTTTGAGCAAGAGACCACGTATCTGGGAGCCTTAGTTTCCTCATCTCTAGAATGTAAGACAACATCTATGTCATAGGGGAGCGAAGGATGAAAAGAGAAAAATCTACAGAAAATAATGAATTGTGCGTGTGATAATGTTGTTGTCGTTATTGCACATCTCCAGTTAAATCTCAAAGCTGATTTCTGTCCTACCCTTTATGAGCTGCATGAATTGTCATCAGTAAAATACAGGCAGAATTTCCTGGGTGCCATACTTTAGGGAGGTAATGTAGGAATTAAACAAACTGAAGTGTTTACTGTTGATTACTAGAATGTAAAGTAATGCACAACAGTAGTCAAATTGTGTATAACACGCCTATTTGATGACATGTGCTGTGTTCAACATTTTACCTAAATTGTATCATTTTATCTTAAAAGGACATAAAGAGTTAAGAACCGTTAAGAAATATGTAATACAAATGAGGAAATGCAAATGTGATGTTAAGAAACAACCCAAAGATGTCCTCTCCATGGGCCCTTGGATCTTTTTGATCTCCCATCCCATCATATGGCTTCCACCATCAGAGATACCTTGAGGTCCAAGATGAATGCCGAGCTCCATCATCTCCTCTCAGTTAAAAGCAGCAAAAAGAAGACAGAGGAATAAAAAGAGTCCTTGTCTCCGAGCTGAGGCAGCTCCCTTAAAGTGGTCTTTACGGAAGCTCAGCACACCACCTCCACTAACATCTCACCACCAATGGCTTAATCACATGGGGCTCTAAGCTACAAGGGAAGGTGAATCATTAATCAACTTTTAGCTGATCATTAATCCTAATGAAATTCTGTTATTGAAGAGGAAAGGTAAGTCAAATATTGCCTAGGTAACTGGCAGCCTGCTACATCATTTAAAATGCATTCAGTGTTCAGGTAATTTTTGTTTTTTTTTGAGACAGTTTTGCTCTGTTGCCAGGCGCCAGGCTGGAGTGCAGTGGTGCAATCTCCGCTCACTGCAATATCTGACTCCTGGGTTCAAGCGATTCTCCTGCCTCAGCCTCCCGAGTAGCTGACACTACAGGTGCATGCCACCACTCCCAGCTAATTTTTGTATTTTTTAGTAGAGACAGGGTTTCACCATGTTGACCAGGATGGTCTTGATCTCTTGACCTCATGATCTGCCTGTGTCAACCTCCCAAAGTGCTGGGATTACAGGCATGAGCCACCGTGCCCAGCCTCTAGTAAAATTTTTAAAAGTTAACATGCTCTTCGTTAAACAACAAAACATCATAGAAAAGAGTAAAGGAAACAAGAAACAAGAAAGTCAGAAAAGCCAAAAATGTAGAAAGGAATCAGGTTGCAGAATTGTTCCTCCATAGATGACGTCTGCTTAGAAAACTAGGAATTGCAACTAAATCTGGATGGGAATCTGAGACAACTTTTCATTCTTCCTCCTGATGGGCATTTCCATAAACCCTCCCACACATTCACCTGAAAATTAAGCAGTGAGCAGAGTGGCATTCCAAATGCACACAGGGATTTATTGCTTCAGGGTTTAAACATGTCTTAAACATCATGTCTCAACTTTTGTCCAGTAAACTCCTACTTGTTCTTCAAGACCCAACACAATTGGCCCTTTTCTAGGAGCCCTTCACGATTCCCCCCACAGAATTACCAGCTGTTCCTCTATGCTCCCTTGAAGCTTGGCACCGTCTTACAGAACAGCATGTCTAAGCCTGGATTGGAATCATCAATTTTTTACCTGCCTATCCTTGAACTAAACTGGAGATTGTCAGGAGAAGGATCCTGTCTTATTTTTGCTTCTTTCCTCAAATGGCCACTGTAGGGTCTGCCATGCAGGAGGCAAATCACACACAATCATGAAGACCCTGCTATTCCCTCACAATGGTTACAGTGTTATCAAGAAGCAAGGGCCTGTAGAGGTGGGACCTTACTCAATGGCGTCACCACTTCCCCTTGAAGAGCAACAATTCTCAGAGACCAAGGCCACAATTCACCCCTTCCCCCAGCAGCCCAACCAGTCACAAACCACACCAAATGGAAACTTCTGAGAGCCAAGAAAGACACAACATGCACTCAAAGTATGGTGGCATTCCAACAAACACAGGATACCCACCAGATGCCAGGCACTCCTCCATATTCTGTGAAGAGAAAATTATAAATCCATACAAGCTTTGCATTCCTATGGGGTATACACTAAAGGAGAAAGAGAGATACAAGTGAGCAAATAATATGTAATAAAATTATTTTGAAGAGGGCTGAGTATAAAAAAGGACAGAAAAGAGTTTGATATCATAGAGGATGACCAAGAAACAGCAGGGCTACCAAAGAAAAGGAATCCTGTGTGTTACCTTGCCATCATGAGCAAGCTGGAGCCAGTCCTTCAGGGGCCAACTGTTGCTGGCAGCGGCAATGGCATGTGCAAAGGTCCTGAGGTGGGAGCAGAATTAAGTTGTTCCTGGAAAGAAGGAGGATGGAGTGTGGTGAGGGAGAGGCAGATCAGTGAGAAATGAGGGAACAGGCTATGCAGAGTCAAATCGAGCAGAGATCTTTAGTTGATGATGAGAAGTTTACATTTACCACTAACTGCAATTGGCAAAGGAGAATTTTAAGCAAGAGACTCACATCATCTGTTTTATGACTTAAAAGGGTAACTGTGGTTACTGTGGAGACTGAATCAGCTAGAAGCCAGAAGGGAGAAGGAGCTGGGCAAGATGTTGAGGAAGTTTACCTGCAGAGAGGTCCACGTGATTTTGGCTGGGATGGAGCCAGCAGGGATGAAAAAAAGAAATAGGCGACTTCTACTTGTATTGTGCAGGTTAGAGACACCAGGGCTTGAAGATGGACTGGATATGGTGGTAGAGAAGAAGAAAGGCATCAGCCTTTGTCTTAGATATGCGATCAGAGCAATTTTGTGGATGGTAGCACCATTTGCCAAGATGGAGATGAATGAAGACATAGTGCTGTCAACCAAGAGAGGGGAGACTCCTTAGCACTCCCTTGAATGTTGGAATTAAGCCCTTTGCAATTAAGTCACTAGTTAAGGGATGCAGCCCAGTCTAAAACAAATTATTCTGCGTACTTCATCAATGTGAATTTGCTGGAATTTCACTGTATCAGAGTTTTGTTCTCAGAATCACAAAGGATGCCTTTTGAACCACACTTTCTGTTGGAATTACTCTGTCATTAGCTGTGGACTGGGAGGAGAAGACTGAATCAGTTGGCAGTGAAATGAGGATGAGCTGCTGCTGAAAACACAAATGACTTCCATGGAAATGACTCACTAATTGTTAATCGATTGCAATCGATTTTTCTGGTGTACCACTAAGGATGGACTGTGTGTCCTGCCTGAGATAAGGCCAACCCATGGCCATTTCACAACAACCAGCAAGGACTTCTGAGCAGCATTCATGCCCTCCACCACTCCAAGACAAACATTTTCCAGTAAAGGGCTGAAAGTCCGGCTGGGCACGATTATGACTCATGCCTGTAATCCCGGCACTTTGGGAGACTGAGGAGGATGGCTCATGAGGTCAAGAGATCGAGACCATCCTGGCCAACATGGTGAAGTCCCGTCTCTACTAAAAATACAAAAATTAGCTGGCATAGTGGACTGTGTCTGAAGTCCCAGCTACCCAGGAGGCTGAGGCAGGAGAATGACTTGAACCCAGGAGGTGGAAGTTGCAGTGAGCAAAGATCATGTCATTGCACTCCAGCCTGGGCGACAGAGCGAGACTCTGTCTCAAAAATGAAAAAAAAAAAACAAAAAAGAGCTGAAACTCCAGAGCCATTGGCTGTCAGGTCAGTTCAACCTCTGCCTAGGTGATGATTAGAAAAATATTCTCCGTGATCCAGGGAGAGAGCAAGAAATTTAAATGACCAAAGAAATGTGATCATCTACAACTGAGCATCCCTGGAAGGATAAGCTTGTTGAAATAAGCTCCAAGGTTGCTGCCAGAACCAAATACAATCTGTGTTATATGTTTTTTATTTATACGAATGTATAGGGTAGTGAGAAATTTTGTTACATGTACGTAAAGCATAGCGATCAAGTTAGGTTAGAGTATATGGAGTATCCTTACCCAAGCACGAAACACTTTTGTGAGGCACAGTCACCTAGTGTGCGATCAAACATTGAATTCATTCCTTCCATCTTACTGTATGTGTGTCCTCTAACCCGCTTCTCTTCATCTGTCTCCCTCCCCTCCCACTCACCCTTTCCAGGCTCTGTGACTCATCTTTCCACTCTCTACCTCCATGGTTTCCCTCTTTTTAGCTTCCACATATAAGTGGGAACATGTTGTATTTGTCTTTCTACACCTGGCTTATTTCACTGAAGAGAATGACCTCAAATTCTATCCGTGTTGCCACAAATGACATAGTTGCATTCTTTTTATGTCTGAATAACGTTCCGTTTTGTAAATATATCACATTTCCTTTATCCACTGATCCATTGATGAACACTTGGGTTGGTTCCATATCTTTGCTATTGTGAATAGTTCTGCTATAAATATGGGAATGCAGATATTACTTTGATATATTGATTCCTTGTCCTTTGGGTAGATACCTAGCTGTGGAATTGCTGGATCAAATGGTAATTCTATTTTCAGTTTTTTGAGAAATTTATGACATTATAGCAGTGGAAGAACTACTGACTCAGCAGCAAATACTCTAATGCCAATGAGAGCCAGGCAGGTTGATGAGTGAATCAGGTATAGCTGGGGAGAAGCTGCCTAGAGGATTGTGGAAGGGACACCAGGAGCCAAATGTCGGCATTTCACTTACAACTCCATCGATACTACCTGGGTGACCTTAGGCAAGTAACTTAACCTCTCTGTGCCTCATCTGGAAAACAGTGATTCTCTTTGTCTCTGCCTATGAGATGTTGTCCACAGTCAATGTTCAGTAAGTGTCATAGCTGGCCTCATTGTCATTGTGACCAGGGAGTACATCCCGGGTTTAAGGCAGGCAGCATCTTCTCAGCTAGCTGTAGCAAAGGGGTCAACATGCCCAGAGTAGCCAGGTCTTCTGACTTGACATAGTTGAAGGGAAACTTTCTACATTTAAATCTTGAAAGTAAATTTAGAAATGGTGAATATGTTGGATGGGCCAAATAAAACCCCTGGGAACTGTATCTACCTGAGAATCTAAAACTGCACACATCACAGGGTGAGGCAGGTTGTGTAGTCTACAGGCCCAACTCGAAGGCAACGATGCTCTTTCTTCTTTCACTGATGATGTTTCCTGAACACCAGGTGCTTGGCCCTACCATTCTGAGACGGGCAGTGTTGTACCTATCAGCAGATGCGAATATTGAGGCTGGGGGACATCAGGAGACCTGGCCAGTGGTCACAGTCTGCTAGTGGCAAAGCTGGGATTTGGAACCAGGTTTTCCTGAACCCAGATGCAATTTGCCTAGCTGTGGTGCTACACGCCTCTCCTTCCACTTCTCCAGCATATCTGTTTTTCAACTTCTGCTCAGAGGCAGACAATGGCCAAAGTGGCAACTGGACCAGATGTTTCCATCCAGTTCTAAGCAGCCCCAGGCAGGAACATCTGCTGCCTAAACTGCCTCATCTGCTTCAGCACAAGAAAACAGCCAGGGACAAAATGACTGAGCTTGCGGCAGCTACTGTTGGCAATGTGCCTGGTAAGTATTAAGTAGAAGCTGTTGTTTTCCCTGCAGACATTTCTGTTCGGGTTTATATACATGCATGTGCTTCATACAGAAATCACATTTAATTAAACCCAGGGAGCTGACTCAAGCATGCTAAAATAAAGCATTGATGTACCATTTCCTGCCTTCACCTGCCTTCCTGTTAGTACCTACCTTCCCAGGAAGGTACTGGCCAGGGCAAATCTTACTCATCCTGTTCAATGACACTCTTAGGGTCTGAGGATGCAAGGGCTCCATCCCTTTCTCTCTGTGCTTTGTTAAATTGAATTGAAATTTCTTTCTTCCTCAAATGAATTGAAAATAAAACCTGGAAAAAGACAATTCCAATAGAAATCCATAACCATGAACATCATAAAACTCAAGTCATAGACTGTCCAAGGCTTTTCACCAATGAAGATGCCAATCCCTGGGCCAATGTCAAGAGCAAGGCATTCATCCAGGAGGTCTGAAAGCCACTGGCAAAACATGGCACCCAGGATCCTCAGAGAATGAGATGGGGACTGGAAATAGAGCAGATTCTGGGGCCAGAGAGGCACATTCAAATTATGTTTCTGCCACTGTAGTCTCAGGAAAGTTGTATGTATTTGGATTCTTTTTGGTTTTGTTTCAAAAGATGTATCCTGCCTAGTTCAATGAATCTGGAGATTTGTTTTCTGTTGGGATTAAGTTGGGATGGCTAGCAAAATATTAAGGAAAATCTTAGGGAAAAGTTATAGATACATCTTTACCCTATGACCTAATGCTCTGACCTAATGGGCTGCCTGTAGCCCATTCTTGTGTTAGAACATTAGGTCATAGGATAAAGATTAGCATAGGGTAAAGATTAGCGTAATGAAAACTCCCCCAGTTAAATCTGTTTGCCCCACATCCCTTTGTCCCTACTCTAATTTGTTTCCTCATGTAAACTTTGTGCTGGATTGCCCTCTGCATGTGTGTGTGTGTGTTGGGAGGGGCAGAGATCAAAGGGGAATCACCCATTAATGTTTACTCTAGGTCCTGGAACCAAAGCTTTTATCATTTGTAAAACCACTCTTTTAACCATGTTAGTAATCCACAAGCATGTTGACTGAGAACCTCTGTTATTAACTCTGTACTGAATAAATGTGAGGAGGAACAGGGAGTTGTGGTTAGCTGCAATCGCCTCTGAAAGCAGCGGACAACCATCCCCAGCCCACTCGACACTGTATTCTGTGTGTGTGAGTGCCTTCATTCATCTGCGGCTAAGTCAGGGTCTGCAGGACAGACCTCCACAGATGGTGATCAATGTCTCAGTTTTCAGTTTCATTTTTTTTCTTTTCATAATAGGTGCACAGGATAAACACATTTAGAAAGTACTTACAGATACCCAGGAAAGGCAAGTTCACATATAATGGAGGGAGTAACAACAAAGTGAATATCTGTTATGATATAGCTCGCCTAGAGTCAGAACCTGTACACTGCCATTTGATATAAAGAGACAAAATTGTTTCCATTCTCCTCACAATGAATGCTAACCTTGGTCTCTGTAAAACTGCTAAAATGCCAAAAGGTAAAGCTGCATACTTTCTCTTATCTGTAACTGCCAGAATTGCTGGCCTTTGATTACCGGTAATAGCCAGAGTAAGCACCCCCAAATAATTCCATTCTGGCGCCAAGTAACCCCTACCCAGACAATATGTAAGCAAATGGTTATCTTAACTTCTGTAAATCTCTCTCCTAGCCCTTGGAATGTCCGGAGCCCATCACCCTCCTCTCTGCCCAGGAGGTGATTTACAGCCCCCTGAAATGTCTGAAGACTTTCATCCCATCTCCGCTCCTCACCCCCACTCCCAAAGTGGTTTTGTGGGTATAAAAGTGTCTTGTCACTCTTCTTTCAGGGCCACGGGTTGGAGAGACCTGAGTCCTCCGTGGTCGCCGGCAATAAACCCTGCAATTTGGCATACTTTTGTCTTGGTGTTGACTTTCTGTGCTCAGTCCGATACAACACTGAGTTCTCTCAACATGGATTAAGAAATGGAATATACATGTGAAGTGTTTGGTTTTAAAAAAATCTCATTGTCATTGATTTTATTATTCTGGTTCCCCTCTCTATTTGTTTGCAGATAGACCAATACATAGATGCTGTGAAATGCATGTATGAATGCAGCCATTTTTCACTGGTATCATAGGATACACAGCATTCTGCATCTGCATTTCACACTCAACAGTGATTGAGCTGCTGTCTGATGTTCGATCTTAGGGTCTGTGTTCATGACTTCTATGCTAGAAAAATGGTCTGTGTTTTAGCTGGAGTAGCTGAAAGAAATGTTATCACAGTGTTAGCTAGATGGGAGCTGACCCAGCCACTGAGACCAACACCAGGCACCGACGACCACTTTCCTGAAGAATGGGATGCATGGTGGAGCTCAGTAGAAATGTCTTGACTCTCTAAAGGGAGAAGATTCTTCAGGACATGCAGCCCGACAGGGGAAGTATTATACAATGCAAAAAGCCACAAATGCAAATTGGAAGTCCACACACTGATTTTGGTCAGTACGTAACTGCAATGATCCAAAAGGTTACTCTCTCCCTCTTACCAAAGCAATGAGTCAGTTGTCTTCAGCAAGTTCTCGTCAAAGCCATGAATGAATGCTTACTGAAATCACCGTTTGCAAATGAACCAGGAACCACAACATACACCGGCCTTGAAATTCCTTGGAGCAGGATTTCTCCACTTTGGTGCTATTGACATTTGGGGTCAGATAAGTCTCTGGGATGGAGGTTGTCTCACGCATTTTAGGATATTTGCATGGCCTGGCCTCTACTCACTAGATGCCAATAGTAATACCCCTACCCTCAGCTGAGGGTCAGAGGATAACTAAGATGTCTCCAGACACTGCAAAATGTGCCCTGAAGGTGGAGACAGAATCACCCCTTTGAGGATTATTGATTAAGGTTATAGAAGTTTATCAAAGTGAACATTCACAAAGGGCTTTCTACACTCAGTTAGGTAGAAAATGCCAGGTGTTCACTTAGCAGCTTCTCTGGCAGCTGGGGCAACAGATGGGATGAAAAGAGGCTGAGAGGAAAGGGTGAGCATGGACCCAGTGTGGCCAATGGGACATCAGGGCAAGGCCCCTGGGAGTTACCAGGCAGTCCACTCCTGCATGAGACACACCCTCTAGAGATCGCCACTGCACCCTTCTTCTGTTTCTGAGCATGCCTGTGTGAGAACACAGGGCCTGAATTGGTGACCTCCACCTTGCAGCCCAAGGCAGCAAGAACAGAAGAAACGTCCTGAGGACGGTAGGTAGAAAGACAGAAAGAGCCACCTCCTCCCCTTGTCCTTCTAACTCAGGAGTGGAAACAGCCTCCTCTTGCTGCTGAAACTCAGGGAGCCACACCACTGAGAGCAATCGTAGCGCCTGTGTGCGGCCCATTGACTACATTGCTCTCCTGTAAACACAAAAGGTATTTGGAGGCTATGATATTAGACACTGACATATGATAACCATCCAGTATCTTATTTGTTTTGTATTTAATTCTGCGGGTAGCTAATCTGGAAGTATTTTTCAAAATAGTTTGAAGAATGCTAGCAGTGGGTGTTCAGAACAGTGTTACTTCAGGGAATTAATGTGTACATTGTACTGTTCCAAATAAAAAGCGTTGTGTAAACACAGAAAGGTCATTCAACTACTGAGCTTTCTGATTCTTGATTCACAAGAAATAAGTACATATAAAATACCTGTAACCACGTATGCATGTGGATTATCTTCCTCTTTCTGAAAGAAGCAGGGAAATCAGCTAACATTTACTGACCAAGGACAACCTTCAGTAGTTATGGGATTTAGAGACAGCTAAAACAGTTGATGCAAAAGATAACGCAAAACAAGCAAAAACATCAAAACCAAACAATCTTTATCATCCTGTAACCAGTTTCTTTAAATCCTTTCGGAGCTCATTTTTAAGCTGAACCAAGAAATACATTAAAACACACCAGCAGCCGGCGTGGCCAGCTTCTTCAGACTGTAATTAAGGCCGCCAGCTATTGTAGGTCCTGACAAGACACTTTCCTAGGTCCTCATTGGCCTGATTTTGTTGGAGGAGATTCTGATAGACGCAGAGGCATAGAAGCTTTAAATGGGTGGATTGTACGGTATGTGACTTACATCTCAATAAATCTGTTTCTTTTACGGCTTAGGACTTTTCATCACATCCACATCTTCAACCTTGGGGCAAGTCAGCTTCATCTCTGACCCAGGCTGTTGCTAAATCTCCCGCAACAGTCTCCCTGCATCTACTTTTGCCCCATATCTACCCCATCATCTTCTCTCCAGGCAGCAGTCTCATGACACTGTTAAAACATAAGTCCCAGCTGGGTGCAGTGGCTCACACTTGTAATCCCAGCACTTTGGGAGCCCGAGGTGGGTGGATCAGCTGAGGTCTGGAGTTCGAGACCAGCCTGACCAACATGGAGAAACACCCTCTCTACTAAAAATACAAAAAATTAGCCGGGCTTGGTGGTGCATAGCTGTAATCCCAGCTATTCGGGAGGCTGAGGCAGGAGAATCACTTGAACCTGGGAGGCAGAGGTTGCAGTGAGCCGAGATCGCACCATTGCACTCCAGCCTGGCAACAAGAGTGAAACTCCATCTCAAAAAAAAAAAGGTCCCATAGTGTTAATCTGTATTCAAAATTCTTGATGCACTCATCTTACTCACATGAAACTGAAAGTCCTTATAGAATATGTAAAGTCTTGGCAATCTGAGTACCCTTGCCTGCATTGCCCCATTGTTCACAATCACCTGCTGACATTGCCTGGTTCACCTCTCCAGGTGCTCGGCCCCTCTTGCTGTGCCTGCAGCACCAGGCAGTATTTTGCTTCGGATCTTTGCACTGGCACAACCCCTGCCAGGACCACTCCTCCCCCACGATACTGTCTTCATCTGTTTCTGTTGCTGCAGAAGAATACCTGAGGCTAGGTCATTTCTGAAGAAGAGAGGTTGATTTGGGTCACAGTTCTGCAGGCTGTATGAGAAGCATGGTGCCAGCATCTGCCACTGTGAGGACCTCAGTCTGCTTCCACTTGTTGTAGAAGGTAAGGGGAGCCAGTGTATGCAGACCACATGGCAAGAGAGAGAAGCAAGAGAGAGAGAAGGAGGTGCCAGGGGCTTTTCAACAAGCTCCTACGGGAACTAAAAGTGCAAACCCACTCACTCCTGCAAGAATGGCACCAAGCCATTCAGGGATCTGTCCCCAGGATCTCGACACTTCCCACCAGCCTCCACTTCCAACACTGAGGATCAAATGTCAGCAAACAAACCATATCCAAACCACAGCAGATACCCACCCTTCAATGCTCCCTCCCCTCCTTCAGGTCTTCACTCACATGGCCCCTCCTAAGTGAGGTCTTGATTGGCAGCTTCTCCTGAAACCCCCTCATCCAGGCTAGCACTCCTTACTCTTTCTCCTTGCTTTGTTTTTTCCCAGAGAATTTAGCAACATCTCTCATACTAAATATCTAACTTACTTTTATTTTGCGCCTCCCCACTGTGAGAAAACTTTTTTTGACCTCAGGGATTTTGCTTGTTTGCTGCTGTTTCTCCAAGAGTAACTGGCAAATAGTAGAAACTCCACATATATAGTATGAATGAATGAATGAATGAATGAATGAATGAATGAATGGATGGCTTGGCTATGAGCAACAGCATAAAGTCTCTACCACATGTGATTCGTTCATCTTCCTGGCAGCCCTAAATTCCAGTCCTTTCCTATGAACTTCTTCTGCCTACTTTTCTGCTCATGTCTTGGTCCTCTTGCCCATCAGTCACCATCCCACATTTCCCACTTGAATTTCGGATCTTGGGAGCCAAGTTCATCTCTACCAATCCCACTGCTCTTTAACAAAACAGAGATTTCCTTTGTTCAGGAGAATTGTACAACAGCAAAACCAGGCTACACTGGAATCTCAAATGGCCAAGTGTGAGGTTTGGCTGCTGCATGGAATTGCTATATGCATCTGATGCAAAAGTCTTCTCCTGGGCATTTATTAAGCACCCACAGAGTGCTGAACACCAACATATGGGAAAGATACAAAACCCAGTCATCCTTGAGTCAACTTAGCCTAGTGTGTAAAGTTTGGTCTACAGTGAGATCTGAGACTCTATTGAGACTGTTCAACTTGTTGGAAGCAAAGGCTGGATCTGATTTATTGGGGAACCCTTCACAATATTGTGAGGCAATTAATGCTCAAAAAATATTTGTTAATATCAAAACCAGAAGCAATCCATTTGAGATAACTATATTTTTAAAAAGCAACACAGCTGAGACAGAATGACTTAGAATTAATGTCTACCACAAGGCAAGCCTTAAAATGCTAATGTTTCAAAAGCAGTTCTTGTTACAACTGACTCAGTTCTGATAAAAAGAGGGAAGATGACCTTTTTCTTATGGTACCACAAGTGACAAGGGTCACCGACTTTGTCCAGGAAAACCAGAGCATATAGCACCTTAGAAGCACTAGTAATTATCAAGGATTATTTAAACGCCACTAGAGCAAAGAAATAAATTAAATGGCCATCTGAAAGAAAATGTATACACATACACACACACACACACACACACACACACACACACACCCTAGAAACATTCACACAAACATACATACTTATGCCTTATGTTCAGAAGAGAAAACACAAGTGAGATATTTAAAAAATGAAACCCCGTCTCTACTAGAAATACAAAAAATTGGCTGGGCATGGTGGCGCCTGCCTGTAATCCCAGTACTCAGGAGGCTGAGGCAGGAGAATTGCCTGAACCCAGGAGGCGGAGGTTACGGTGAGCCGAGATCACGCCATTGCACTCCAGCCTGGGTAATGAGAGTGAAACTCCATCTCAAAAAAAAAAAAAAAAGAAACTGCAGTTCAAAGTACATGTCCTGAACATCGTCTAAGTGCAAAGACACTGGGTTACAAAGACAAATTTAAATGGTGCCTGCAGCCCCAGAAAGCTTGAGAATTTATTGAGGGAATTATGATTAGCACCAAGTGGAACGGCAGACTGAATTAAATTCAAATTCTTGTAATGCTGGGGTCCCTCTAATACTTTTCAGCTGGGTAGAAATTCAATAGAAAGGATTTTCTGGCTCTTGTAAACATGAAATGTATAAAATACATCCTTAAGTGGAAAGCTCTTCTCCGGAAGAAATGAAACACTCTGCCTCTAGCCAATGAAAATTATTTGGTTGGTTACAGCTCCTACTTGGTTCATTTCATTAATTACAAAAGCCTCAAACTCTTTCTTCTAGGACAGTGTTTCCCAATGTGGGCACTAGTCACATTTTAGACCAGATAATTATTTTTGGTAAGGGAAGCTGTCTTATGCATTGTAAGATGCTTAGTCTCTCTCCTGGCCTCTGCTCATGACATACCAGTCATGCCCCAGGGTGACAACCAAAAATGTTTTCAGACATTTCTCCCTGTTCCCTTGAGGACAAAACGTCCCCAGTTAGAGTCCACTGGTCTAGCATAATTATTCTAAAGTAATTAGATCTAACCATACAGTAGAAATAATTACGTGGATGTAACTTCCTTAACTTCTCTTTCATGCCTCATATTCATTCAAGCAATCCTGAAATATTATGTGTGCAAGTGCCCACCTGCAAGAATTTGATTAGAAACGATTAATTTGCTCGGGGTAATTATGAGTGAGGTGCATGTAGAAAGTGATGGCAAATTATGATTAAAAAGTGGTACGTTTCGTGTTTTCCCCTTAAGACCTGCTCGTAGGTCCAGTTACGAGACCATAAATAAAGAGAAAACACGCGAGATAAGGAGCAACTGAAGGTAAGGGAAGACCTCCATGCCCATTACCTGAGGAGTTCCAGGAGGGGTGGAGCGAGTTCGCACAGTGCTGGGGACACATCGGCGGGGCTGGTAAAGATGGAGAGCACTGTGTTCAATGCAGTTCCAGACGTAACCAGGATTCCAGGTAACAACAAGAGCAGGTGCCTGGAGGATGAAAACCACTCATCGGCCCCAGAACAAAAGGTGACATCCCTTCTGACGGGTGAGCTGGCCTGACTCTGCCCACATGGCACCAGTGAGGGGACGAGGGGCATCTGATGGCAACTGGGGAGTGGACTTTTGCCATCATGAAACTTCCCCCACATTCCTGCCCCTTGCTGGCACAGGGGAGGGTCAGGAGTGCCCTGGGAGCAAACACAGCCTGCTGGGCTCTCCGTCTAACATTTCAACCAAGAGTCAATTTCTACTCCAGCTCTGAACATTCAAGGTCAGAGACTTGGAGCCAGTGACTGAAAACTCCGTTGAATCCCAGAGCAAAAACATGTCCTCTCTCCGATCTAGGTTGACTGGTTCACCCTAATGAGGGTGATTAGAGTGTGGAGAACACACTGTTTGAATACAGAATCAGGATATGTGCTCTATTAGGTGTCACCTCATTAAGGAAACAAAAGCATTTGAAGTTAGGAAGGTCTCAGAATGTCCAGGCCCCACACCCATGAGGAAACAACACAATAAAGACTCACAGTGACCCATGCCAGTCCGCATATGCATGCACCTTGGGCAGTTACACACAGTGCTGAGTTCCGAGCTACTGCTGTGTACCAGTTTTCGTTTTCAGCACTGGGTGAGCAGCAGTGAGCCAGGTGACAGTGACATGGGAATATCGTGTGATGCCAAGCTTTGGAGGACGGTAGTCCGCCACTCTCTCTCCACCCTCTAGTAGTCTACAGTGTCTTTCTCATATTTATGTCCATGTGTGCTCAACATTTAGCTGTCAGCCAGGAGCAGTGGCTGTAATCCCAATACTTTGGGAGGGCGAAGGAGGCAGATTGCTTGAGGCCAGGAGTTCAAGACCCACCTAGCCAACACGTGAAACCCTGTCTCTACTGAAATTACAAAAAACTGCCGATCAGTCCATATATGTGTGTGTGTGTGTGTATTTATCTATATATACACACATAT